CATACAGGTTTAGCGGCTATTAATGCAGCACTCCCACTGAACTCCATATTAGGAGGCTTTCAAAATCCTTCTTAGCCATGCTCTCCCCAGATGTTGGTTCCAACAGATCTGGTCTGCCTTATGTTTTTATTCAAAGAGTCTGAGCATTGGGCCACTTAATGTTGAAACAAGACAATTCCAATAATCTCTGATCCACAATCATGCTGGATTTCAGTATAATGTAGACTTTAGGTATTTGCATAAGTTTCTTCATCCTATCTATTCCTGGATGGTTGACAAAGGAAAGAGATATACAGTTAGTTCATTAAAACAAATACACTATGTACACTGTTAAAAATATTAATGGAAAATAAAATTTCAGACCCGTGTTCATAATACAGTATAAATTGATAATCGGACAGTAGCCAGATCAAGAGGCACTCCTCTAATAATTAAATGACAATGACATTTCACAAGGTCAAAAGCTGTGCAAGATTTTGGTAACCTCACCTGATTTTACACAATTTCAGCAACTTCACAATGGGCTTTGGCAAACCTTTACAAGAATTTGGCAACAAAAATTGGCCCTAAGACTAGATATGGTGTCAACATTTTCAGTACAATCTATATTCAGGTTGGAGAAGGAGTTCAATAAAACTCCAACAAATGCTTTGGATCACTGCAACACAGCCTTCTTCCCATACTTAATAGTATAAACTGTTAGATTGCTGAGAGCCAGTTTGGTGTAGTGGTTAAGGTAGCAGACTAGAAACCAGGAGACTGTGAGTTCTAGTCCTGCCTTGGGCATGAAGCCAGCTGGGTGACCTTGGGCCAGTCACTCTCTCAGCCCTAGGAAGGAGGCAATGGCAAACCATTTCCAAAAATCTTGCCAAGAAAACTGCAGGGACTTGTCCAGACAGTTGCCAGGAGACAACAAGGACTTGAAGGCACACACAGACACAAACCTTGCCAGAGATGGTTTTCCAAGACCAAATAAATAAATTCCAGCAAACTTCAAGAGACATTTGGGGCTGGGGGGGGGGGGGAGGAATTCATATATACATATATATTGAGGGGAGGGAACACATGTTTTTCTCTGTGCTTTTCTGTATGCTAATAGATACACCTGGTCCACATTGGTACGCCTTGAATTCTTGATTCGGTTAGCTGTATTGTTTCATCTTAGATGTTCCTGTTCATTCTCCCTTATCTACATGTTGATTGCTGGGTGTGCAATCAGGAACAAGTAGGAACACAAACTACAGTAATCCTGATCAAGACTGGTAAGACAAAATGCCACGCATAAAGAGCCAACTGACGATGTTATCTAGTTTGGTCTGATGAAACTTTTGCAAGGGAGAAAGCCAAGATCCCCAGATTTAGGAAGTGCAAATTGGGTCAAGTTTGCATTTTGGTGCAAACCAAAGTGATTTCTTTCCCATCTCTCGTTCCTAGAACGAGGAGCCTCTGGAACAAAGTTCAGAAATTAGTATTGTATTAGCAAATTCCCAGCATTAGAAACGGGTTAAGAGAAAATTGAAGAGAGGGGTCAAACCTCTGCAGAAAAATCAGGGCCGAAAACCATCAATGGGCACTTTGAATGCAATGGAAAGGGGACTGAATAGAAGCAGGATAGACTGAAGCAAAAGTTGCACAGCTTTTTGAAAACCTACTGTATCTGCCCTAGATTTGGCATTCTCAATCAATTAACATCTTTGTTACTGTTCCAATTATTATTTAAGCTGCTACCCCCCATCAACAAAGTTATGGGAATTAGTAGCTGTCTCCATGGATTTTTTTTAAAAAAAATTACAAGTAAGTTTCCTTAAAATTAATGGCAGGGTTGATGGGAGTCTTTCTTGATTGTTAGACCTAGCAGTGTTGCAACTTGCCAAGGCAAAGTGCCTGACGTGGATTCCTAGGGCCTGTCTGGATCAAGAGACTCAGAAAGAAAGCGAGAGAGACCAACTCAAAGTGAAAAGTAATTTGCTTACTTACCTCGTCCTGTGTTGAAAAGATTCCATAGGGCAGGTTTTGAATGGGGAAATGGGAATTCTCCTCCACTTTAATAAAAGACATGTTGCTTTGGTCTTTCGGGCACAACAGAGAGAAAAAGAGAAATTCCCAGATGTTGCTTGGGTTGCTATACCTCCGATAGACCCCTCCTTTTCAGTATGAAACAGCCAATCAGTCTCGCTTCCTCTCTCCCACCCTCACTGAATTTGCTGTCTACAAACCAGGCAGTTAAATAATACCAGAATTTCACATGACTCAATAGCAGCCACAGTTGCACCTCCCTCTCTCTCTCACATTCCTCAATACTTCTCCAGCAGATTCAGCCTCGAGAAATCAAAGAACAAGGACTTCTGATGGTTGAGAGATGCATCCTTCCCCCCCTTCAAACCAGCAAGAAACTTTGCCCAGGGATCTTACTTTTTGTAATACTAAGATATTGGCTTTAGCTTTGAAACTGGCATGGTGCTTTTCAGATTCCCTGCAGAAGCAGCTCCATTTGAAGAATGGTTAAATGCTGCTGTGCGGATTTCTCACAATCCTCCATGTATTGACACTAGGTTTGTATGGAGCCTTGGATTTTTTAAATTGTCCCCAGGAAAATTCATTAATGTGCAATTGACCTTTCATGCAGAAGTGATCAGGCCACTTCTGAAGAAACCAATCTGGACCTAGAGGATAAAAACTATTAATAGATCAGTGGCCAATATTCCTTTCCTACGCAACACTTGAGCCAAGGGTGGCTAATCAACTCGAGGTTCTCTTGGATGAAACTGGTTTTCTAGATCCATTTCAATCTGTTTTCAGCCTTGGTTATGAAACAGAAACTGCATTGATCACTCTGGAGATGACCTGTGCTAGGTAAAAGTGGGAGGGTGACCCAAGACCTCTTGGACTTCAGTGTCTTTCAATACCTTCAACCATGGTATCCTTCTGAATAGGCTCTAGGAGTTGGAACATGGAGTACTGTACTACTAAGGTTCTTTTCCTACTTGGATACATTTCTAGAAGGCGGTGCTAGGGTATTACTATTCTGCTTCATGGTGGTTGGGCTATGGAGTCCCTCGGGGCTCCATTTTATCCCCTACGCTTTTTAACGTCTACATGAAACTGCAGGGAGATCATCTAGAAATGTGGACTAAGGGGTCATCAGTATGCAGATGATACCCAGCTCTATTCCTCTTTTTCATCTAATGCAGGTTAGGTGGTTGACCTTCTGAGCCAGTGCTTGGTAGTGTCATGGACTGGATGACAGCCAATGAGACTCAATCCAGAAAAGTCAGAGATACTGTTTGTGGAGGGTGCATCCATCCAGCTGTGATGGCTTGCCATCTGAAGGGATGACTTGCTCTAAAGGAGCAGGTTCACAGCTTGGGTGCGGTCTTAGATCCATCACGGTCACCAAAGGCCCTATAACCATGCATTTTAAAATCTTAAGGCTATTTCTTGAAAATTCCCAAATTCCCTGTAGTCAGATCCAGCAGCAGAAATCATTGTTACTGGCCACGTGAAGTTCCTTTCTGAAATCAAAACTATTGGCAGAATCAGTATTATTTGCTTTTGGTTTTTGTATTGGGCCAATACAACTATTTTCATATTTTATCAAGAGTTTTACCAAGCACATTCCATCTGAAAGCCAATTCTCCCCCCCCCCTTTTTTTCACATCCAGATTGCTTCTCTTGTAACACATTATATAGGATCCTCTATGATTAGGTTGGTTAGAAATGCTGTTACAATGAATGAACAGCATTTTTTGCAGCATATAATATGTGTGTATAAATACACACACACACACACACACAGTCAATCCTATGCAATTCTTCAATCCATGTTAGTCGAAGGACTATAATTTCCTTACAAATATGCATCATTAGGAAGGAAACAAAGCAAAACATAATCCATTATTTACAATAAATCCTTATCCAATTTGATTCCCTTTATTACATACAAGTTCAAATTCAACAAAAACATTTCTGATCTGGGTTGATGGTTACAGAATATACAGAAAGCCATACACACTGATATTGCAAATCCAGAAAGTTTTTATCTATCTGAAGGACCATCCACAGAATATTGGAGCAAACGTGTTTGAATTCCAGATGGCAGGACTGGAATAAAATTACAAGACAGCAACTCTTTGCAAAAAAGTTTGAGGATATTCTCAGGTCTATCAATTGTTCAGCAGCGATGTCTGGGCAGATTAGAAGTGACTTTTCTTCACCAGAAATAAGACGCATTGGACTTTGGAATTTTCCCCACCAGAAGATTCCATTGGATGACTTCAAGTTCCAGTTGAAAATTGGACAATTCCGGTGTTTGTATTTCATACTTAGGCAGGAAGGTCAAGATCTCTCTAGATGTTAGGACATCTAGAAATCCAGGGAGAGGCTGAAGCTGGAAGAAAGCACATTTGTACCTACCCCACATGCTCTAAATGCAGAAGATCAAGTGTGAAAAATAAATTAAGGATACCACTGGATAACCCTATGCTAAGGGTTTTCTCTAATTGCATTTCAACACCTACTCCAAAGCTGTAAAACAAGGGTTGTGTATGAACACTGTCCAGTGCTACGGTCCTTCCCATTAACCATATTAGTTTCAAGCCCATATTTCAATCAATAACTTGTTAACACGGTAAGAGGCTGTTGGTTTCTGGGGGAGGGGGGTTATCGTATCTATTCTAAATCCCCCTTCTTCCTTCTTTTATTCTCTGATAAAAAGAAATTAGGCTCATCTTGTTAAAAGGTTGAACGTTGCAAGTTAGCCAGTGATTTAATGGCCTTTGAACCCAGACTCACCTGTTTCAGTCCAATATTCAAATATGGCTTTCATCAAGGTAGTTTAAATCAACACCGACATTGCTCTGCTGTAGTTGCTAATCAAATCTAACCCACTTTCCTCCAGTGCAATGACTTGCATCGAATCTCCTCGTTCCATCCTTCTTCCAGGCGCAAACGGATGAGCACATACTCATAAAAATCAACAGGTACCAACTGCCAATCCTCAATCCCAATTTTTAAAAATTTTATTTTAATCAAAGTTAAAGACGTGGATGAACATAAATACAATACGGTTAAAAGCTCTTCATTCTTTGCATTGGTGCACATAAAAGACCTAATAGCACAACTCCCAAGGAAATCTGCAAGCAGGCAAACTCTCAACGTGCACACGGGAGAAAAAGAAAAGGGGGAAGAGAAACCTAGAAAATATCTTCGAAGAGAAAAAGTCACACACGCTTTAAAATCTCAGCACTCTCTTACACACTCGGATACGAACGATGCATACATAAATAGATAGTGGGTGCAAACAAGCTATTATGATAACATGTGTATAAATTTTTGTTAAGAGGGGGAAACCAAGCAGCCTTAATGATTAAATACATTCAGTTATTGATTGCTAGTTGTGCCATACAAGGCATTACCAAGGGGGGGGGGGGGGAAGGGGGAAATTTGCTGCAGAGAGAAAAAGAAAAGCTATATACAAAACGAACAGAAGTGTCTTGAGTTAATGCATGCACATTTAGTACGAGAAGTGGGAAAAACATGGATGCCCTCCAATGTAACTTTGGGTGGTATTAGAGAAAGCCCTCCGCACTCTATTTTTTTTTTTTAAATGATAATACTTTTAGAGCCATGGTATCCATTCGCCAGCTTCCATAGGCCTTCATAGTGGATCGCATGTGTAAAGTTTATGTCTTCATCTGTAGGAACTAAAAAAAAACAAATCCTGAAATAAAGAAGGTGGTTTGTCATGTGCTAAAAGAAGGGAGAAAAAACCCCCTATGTTTTTGATGACATGCACGATTTGGGACACTTGTCCTCTATGTTCTTGAAGTCAACAAGGGGTGGAACAGAAAAATGAAAGGTTGTGTATGGGGGTTTGTGGAGAGGGAGGGGAAAAAGCTCAAGTCAATTTTCATCTGCAGATGGTCAAACATTTTAATATTCCAGCTACAGGAGCAGTTCAAATCTTCTGAATCTTTTCCCCGACAACTACAGGATTCTCTTTTCTGATCTTCTCAGCTGCATCAGCTTTGTAATTGTAAGAACAACTGTGGACATCTGAGTAACGGTGTACAGCACAGTAAACGTTTCCACACCTGCACTCAAACCCTGAAAAAAAAAAAAAGGACAGAAGCTGAAATGTCTGGTCTTAGGAAAGTATAAGGAAAATATATGGACAAGTCCCTGCAGTTTTCTTGGCGAGATTTCAGAAGTGGTTTGCCATTGCTTCCTTCCTAGGGCCGAGAGGGAGTGACTGGCCCAAGGTCACCCAGCAGGCTTTGTGCCTAAGGTGGGAATAGAACTGACAGTCTCTGGGTTTCTAATCTGGTGCCTTTAACCACTACACCAAACTAGTTCCCATGGATAGTATTAGAGTTGCTTAAAACACTTTCTATTTCCTTTCCCAGTCTTGTCACTGACCAAAAATATTAATGGTAATAATTATATTAAGCCTCCGAAAAAAACCTGTAAGAAATAATTGTGCATAAAAACAAAATCTGCTGGAAAACTTTACCTACTCGACAACTCTGGAAGGGAAAACAAAAGATCCTTCACAACATTGTGGCTTTCAAGATGTTACTTCAAAAATCAAACTGAATGGTTCACTGATCAAAAAGAATATTGTATGGGAGAGGACCCACAATGTCACATGTTGCCCTGAGCAACTTTTGAGCACAACCAATAATCAGCAAGAGGTTTTAAACAGGGAAACCAATGAAAGTTCTATGAACCCTAGAATAAATTCCATTCTAAAATGGGGAAAAATGGGAACCACCATCCCACTCCCACCCCTTATTTCAATTTCCCCTTTTTGTACTATCTTGCCATCCACATTAGATCTGTTTCCACCCCCACAAATTAAGTGCAACTCCCCACCTCTGAAGTCTGCCCATTGTCCCTTTTCTTTTAGCTGAGGGTGAAACCTTGTCAATTAATATCAGTTTTAGTAGGTATCTAACATGTTCATAAAGCAGATTATGAGCACTGGAGCACTCCCCGCTCTAAGGTAGGAAAAAGAGAAGAAATTTAGAAAGGTATTCAACATAAAATCCCAAGTCCTATGAATTTTCCTCTCCCCACAGCTTGCATACCACCATCATGGAAATCATTCTAAGCCCTGAAGGCTGGATGAGATCAGATCAAGTTTGTTGTATCTACCTATATCTGTAAAAAATGAACAAAGGGATCAATGCATCATTTATAAATGATGTATTGACATGAACACAAATTAACCTAAAATTGTAGGTCTCCGTAAAAAGTTGTTCTCTCTACTTCAACACAAAATTAGATACAACTGACTTGGAACAACCTTATCGGAGTTTTTAAAAAGTATTCAGAGAAAGAAGATAGAAGGTACCCCTTTGACCATCACACAAAGCTTAGACAATAAGACCAATGCCTTTCTGTCCACCACATTCTTTACCTTCTGGGAAAGGATGAAATCCTAGCCAGAAAACTTTGTAATCTAACATAGACATTTTGAGCTATAGCTAACCCTGTTCCCCCCAAGTCGTCTTATTTAAAATGTTGCCCTCCTCTCAGTCGAGGGAACTCTGAAGCCACAAAAGCAGCAGATCTTATGTGAATAGCTGGGAACAATGATTAGATATGGAAAGTTTAACCAAGTCCCTTATAACAAACATAATTGTATTTGTGGAGCTCCAGAGACAGAGGACATAGCACATGTATTATCTGAATGTCAACTGTATAAGAAATAGAGAGATCAATAACTTGGACTGCACATTAGATGAACGGCCTATTGGGATCCTTACATTAAAACATATTTCATGTGCAGTCAGAACCCCAAAATTACATATAATATGACCCTTTATCTGAACAAAACAGTACAACTGGGAACAATATATAGGGATCTGACTGGGTAAGTTGTAGGGGTGACACAAATAAGATTTGCATTTTCTTTTAGTTATGCCTTTTACTCTATTTTGTAACACATGGTCTTGTTATTGTTCTGTATTTTGTATTCTGATATGGCCTAATGGCTAATCAATAAATTATGTGAACCACGAGCTGCCAGCCCAGTTTTATGCTCACTGTTCAATTCAAACTTCCAAATGATCGAATCCAAGAGAACTTACCAGTAAGACCGACTTTCTTTCTGCACATGAAACAGCGAGTTTTTTTCTGTTTGGGTTTGTCGAGCAATTTACCTTGTTCTTCAGAGGAAGGTTCTGCACTATCTGATGCTGAAGCTAAAGGAGAAAGATGGAGAAAGATCAGGATACAGCCAGAACATCTGGAAGCCAACGTAGCACAGTTCAAAACCAAAAGCCCTTGGGCTTCAGCTCCAGGAAACTGAACTTGACTTCTGTGTCATTCAGTCATAACCATCTACTCCATTTTCTCTATGAACAATTCGAGCTCCTGTTTAGAACTGGAGAGTTGGAAAGGATCACAAGGATCATCTAGTCTAACCCTCTGCAATGTGCAAGAAAATCAATTAATTCTTCCATGAATGGTGGCTGCCCAGTCTCTTCTGAAAACACCCCAGAGATGAAGGCTCCACAACTTCCTGCTGTCCCAGGACATGTAAAATAAAGATAATATTGAGAATGAAAAGTTAAAACAGCAACTTTATGCTCCTCTGGTGAAAAATGGCTGTGGAGGATTGACTCAGTATGAAGTCTTCTTCTCTCAACTTTTCAGATTCAGCAGCCCAGCGAGTCATCAAGATATATCCTTGTTACCCACATCTAAAGAAGGAACAGGCTGTGTGTAACCAACTGGTGAAGAAAACTGTAGGTATTTTCAACACTGCTGGCAAAGGCCACAAACCATCCTCATAAAAAACACAATGACGTTATTTTCTTTCTCACTGCAAGGATTTCTGAATATAGCATCCAGTTCTTTTGGGATAAGAGCCCATCTCCAAAAGCACTGGGGCTAAATGAAAGAGCCCATATTTTACATACAAAGAATATATCCATGACATTGCCAAAAAAAAAAAAAACATTCATCACCCTCATCAATTTATATTCTACCTTGCTATGCATAAGACACTCAAAGTAGCTGTCCAAAATGAAACATAAACCATTATTTTTTGGTGAACCAACAACTGAAATTGTTAGAACAAACTAGAAGGTCTAATTTTGGATTCCAAAAAGTGTTGTCTGAAGGCTTATCCCCTTCTGTGGGCTCCAAAGTCCCTTGAGATTACTAGGAGTCCTTAAATTTTTTATTCCCTCCCTCCCTCCCTCCCTCATAATTTTTAGAGTTGGGGTTTTTTTAAGCATCAAAGAGAGTGTCTTAAGCCTTGCTAATGTTTAAGAGACTCATTTCACCCCTTAAAGTTCTTGACATCTGCTCTCAGAATGAACCCTGCTCTCACTTTTGAAGGGTGGCTCTTATATGGCATCTTTAAGGGACTGGAGAGTTGCTGTCATAATCAGCATGGAAGAAATAAAAACAGAAAGATGAGTTATCTGATTCAGTTTAAGACAGTTTCTTGGCATCAGATATTAACTTTATGCCTTGTTCCCCCTCCCACTGACTTCTGGGGATGGGAATGAAGTTGAGTATAAGGAGAGGAGAACTGGCAGGCAACCATGTTTGGAAGATCTTTCAAAGAAGGGATGTCCAGCCCTTACACACTGTTTCTTCTTTGACGTGGCTGCAAAAAGGCAGGAAGGCTTGCTGAAAGATTTCATTTTAGCCTAGTGGTCCACAAGTTACACAAGGTCTGGTCACCTCAAGAAACAAATGTCAAAGAGGTAGATTACCATTGTGCATCTGGGCCCTTCAAAGTGTTCTCTTGAGATTCATCCATTCAGTCATTCTGCAAAGCAATAAAGTCAAAGCTCCCCCAATTTAAGTCCTTTGCCCCAAGGATGGATCACTTGTAAGGATTTAGAGATAGCTTGTCTCTGAGGCCAAATAATGGGACCTTGACCTCCACTTACAAGCGGACAGTCCTAAAGTTCCAAATGTTGCTTCTGGAAACTTTTATCACATCCCCCTTCTTATTCCAAACTACCTTTTTAAGATACTTTCCTCTTCAAACTGAAAGGTCTTTGCATTAGCCATGTTCACTGCCCTACCCTGTAGCGTGATGGGTAGGAAATTCCTTAGACAGATTTATTTTACTGCCAATAAAAACTAAATAACTTTACTTCAGTCATTAATCAGCACAACGGAATTGGTGTTCAAATATCCAAAATTAAATCGACAATATCAGGGTAAGTAGGAAAGGTAGCTACGAACAAAGAATTTTGGCTAACAGACAATATTAAATCAAAAAAGATGCTTGCTCAGGCTACACAAATGCAAAAAAAGAGAGAAGAGATTAAAATGAGCAATCCGGGTAGTATAAACTTTAAAACAGCAACATAAAATACAAAAAAATAGTGGTAGATAAAACAATAAAATTATCCAAAAGGGATCTGAAGATTATAAACTTCTCTTACAGTAACTCATATCCTGCTGCGCTGCCAACTGTATCAGAACCAGTGATCCAAATTATTGCATCTACTCTTTGCTAGGTATAGGAGGTGGGCTGAGTCCAAGAGTACAGTTTTTACTAGTGAAGGTTTCTAAGTGAATCACTAGCTTCTGCTATTGAAGTCAATGGGCTCAAACTTGCCCTGGCTTGGATCAGCCAGCTACTGTATGGGGGACCAAAATGGTAGTTTTCTACAGTTGGTTATCGCCTTATTATTATTCCTGTTTGGGTTTCTGCATAAACCTTATTTGGTTCTATGGGTTTTTAATTTATTTGTTTTGTATGCATTTTTTTCCAATTTAGTCTCTGTCCATAAATAAAGGAATATGCAGATTTAAATTGAAGCTGCATTCTACCTTCCTTTGTTTCCAGAGCTTTAGGGGGAGCACATAGAATTCTCCAAGTGCTCACTTATAGTGGTACTAACTAAACCAAGACCTGGCCAGATTCTGAAAATGAGACTGTATTGTATGCTGACAAGGCACAGCCATGGGGCAATCATTGCAACTGCAGCAGTAAAAATTAAGTCATGGAATACACAAGAGTTTTGTCGTGGAGAAAATCTATGCGGTTCCTTGGAGTTGAAAATGACTTGATGGCACATAATCGATCAATCGATACACAAGAGTTACCAAGGATGGCTCTGAACAACACAATGGTGTTCACACAACATGCTTAACCCCTTATCTGAGTTTGCACAATAGACTTCTGTAAATTATAAACTTACCAAATGGGGCTAAGTTCACACAAAAGATTCAACCATAGAAAGGTTAACCAAGATAAAGCCTAAACAAAATTACCATGTTGTAAGAATACAAACTTCTAGAATTTGTATGAAGAAAGCTGATGAGTATGGCCTAACCTGCATTTTGGTGCAGGGCAAAACTAAGGGATTAATCTAGCTTCTGCCATCTTAACCAGTTGTGTTGGATTACGTCTGAAGAAAGATGTGAAGACTAACACCCTGTTAACATCGTGCTTCACATTCTCCTGCCCTAAGAATGTAATTGCAGGAGAGGAATTCTTTGATGCTTTAAAATTTGAGCCTTCATCCCCAGTCAGGACTCTTCTCTTCTAATATTTAGGAAGATAAAGACAACTTTATTTTTCACTTTTGGTGAACTACGGCAACTGACTTGTCCATTTGATGCCACTGTTTATTTATATGTTGCTTCAAGTCAACACATTCTGCTATTGTGTGTTTTTAATAATAATTTTAATCAATTGTGGAAAATACTTCTAATTTCATCTGATAGCAGATTAGGGTTTTTTAAAGAATATAAGAAGGCAAAATAACAATACTTTGAATAAATACCTAAAAACAGGACAAAGCAGACAGAATAATTTAGAGAGGCAGAAGGTAGTAAGAGGTTAAAGCCAGGATGGACTTTACATATACATTAACCCTGGTTTAACAAACCCAATAGCTGGAGTCTTAGAACATACTGAGCTGGCTTTCTCTAACATCATCTACAGATGGGTTGACTAGCCTAGAGAAGACCAACACATCTTGAAATTACCTCGCTGAAAAAGGACAAGCAAAGCCCAATCTGATCTAACCCAACCACATTATGGCTACACAAGGTGACCATCTTATCTTCTCTGACATAATGGCTACAGGAAAGGACTCCAGCAAATTACTGCTCCAACACTGACTCATACAGTTAATACACAAATGAACAACTCCAGACAAATGGACATGGTATGCAAAAGAGCTAAGAATTCACTGAAAAGCTGAACTAATAACTCATTGGATAAAAGGCTCCCAATTAAGGAGTCCAACAGCTAATTATACCAATGATTACTAAGCAACATAGACGCAAAAGTGACCAGGTTTGCACATGCTGAGCCAAAAGCAAATCAACCACACTGTTGATCGGTGCAATGTGTGAATCCAGACTGTAAATCATTCTGGCTGGGAGGAAAGGGATATGAGAGCACCAGAACAGGAAAATTTTCCAGAGGAACTAATGCATGCTGTAAAACCATCCTGACTAGTTTCAATATAATAGTTTCAAAATAGTATCCTGTTGAGCATCTCAATATAACAGACTAATGGAAGTCTTATAATCAGATTCTGCAAATGACAAGCAAGGTATCTTCTTGACTGACAGGGGAAAACCAAAACTGATCTCATAGATGTGAAAGACAGGTTCAGGTAAACTCAGGTAAAGGTAAGTAACACTTGTGACATTTGAGATATATACTAAGGCTCTGAAGAAAAGATCTGTAGAATGAGTGCAAACAAGAGGGTATTTGAGCATTTGTTCTTTAAAAAAAAACAAAAGTATCCTGCTCTCCTGTATATAACTGGGAAAGCTCCATAACTCACATACTTAACCTGCAGAAGGCTCCATATTCAGTCACTAGCAACCTGAATTAAAAGACCTCTGCCCTGAATTTAAGCAATACGGTGGAGGCCCCATTGCCAAAAGGATCTGCTACATTCGCAAGATTTCTGCTTGGAGCAAAGATGTGGATTAGATCATCCCAAAGTCTTCCCTGGTTATTCCTTCTATGGTTCTATGATTGACTGCCTCACTCCCCTGCTGGATGGCTCAACTGGAGACCTCTGAAGCATTGAGATATGTAAAATGAAAGAAGGCAGCTCTACAGTATACAAAAGCAAGGATAAATCTCATCTGGCATGCAAATACTTCGTTATGTATAAAATAGATCCCTGAATGCTGAGCAATGACCCCGCTGTTTCTCACGTGTTCATAAAATTATTGCCTAAAGTACACCTGGAATTATGACAAGAGGAGAAATGGCTTTCTCACACACTCATAGCCATACAACAATGCAACTGACAGCAAGCATCTTTGGTGACAATGGAAAATTGTTTAGAAATAAGTGTTCATTTGAGGTCATGATTATTGTTAACTTTGCCTGTAACACTTTTGTTCTTTATGAAACAGCATGAAGTTGAAAGGCTGCAGGTAGAAACATGAAAACCAAAAAGAAAGAAAGAAAGAAAGAAAGAAAGAAAGAAAGAAAGAAAGAAAGAAAGAAAGAGAGAGAGAGAGAGAGAGAGAGAGAGAGAGAGAGAGATTGATTGATTAGAGGAGAATTATGACATGGGAAATATACAAGCAACAATGCAGAAAAGCTGGAATAATTGGCACACGTTTACAGGATACAGACCACAGTTCAGGACAGCATTAGTAAACTACATAGTGCACGCAAGAATAAAGTAACAGCAGAAGCACATTAGGAAGAGACATTTGCAAACAGAGAAATCACATTTTGGCAAACGATGTGGAAAAGAAAGAAAAAGATGGGATAAGGTGTTTTATGTCTAATCTGATACCACTTGATAAGAATGAGCACCATTTAGATAGTTTACCATTTCTGAATTTCCCCAGTTAACTCCAGCAGACTTAACAACTGATGCTTCCTGCCTTGAAGTAAGACAGAGCCCATTTTCTCCACTGTCACAGTGAGAGACTTCTGAGCTTCATTTTATCCAATTTATCAACCAGGGTTTTCCAAACTTGTGAAATCTGGGGCACAACTACTCCATCCAACCCCCAGACTGGGACTGAATAGATATCTTAATCACAATTAGGAGGACATATTCTTCAGCAGCTCTAGAATATGAGCGCATACCTTGAGGCCTTCTGGGCTTCTAAATCCCCTTCCAAACATGTCACTTTTTATGTAAGTGAAGGGGAAAATGTTAAGAACATAGGGAATAATCAAAGCAAAGATAAAGTCTCCTTTGAGTTGAGCCCAGCTCCAACTCCTGGTGGCTTCACGGATAAGATCTATGTGGTTATTCTGGTAACACAATGATACAGAAATATCATGACTGAGATAGTTTTTGTCTTCCCGATCATGCCTCCAGCTCAGTGATTTTATGATGATCTCCCATCCATACTAGCCACATTCAACCCTGCATAGGTTTTTTTGAGATCAGCCAAAGTCAGTCAAATGTTCTATCTGTGGTACTGGCAATTGTATTTAATTTTCATTAAGCTTTAAACTAAATTACATTTAGTTTTGGCCTGAACCTGCCTACCTTTTGGAATATGTCCTCCAAAATGCTGCCTAAAGGTCATCTCTGCTCATGGAAGCCCTCATATCTTACAGGCTTATCTCTAACAGAAGTTGGATGTTTAACTTTCACTTTATTGAAAAAGCTCAACAAAATCCACTACTCAAAAATTAGGACTTTACTACTGGATTTTGGTATTGATGTGTGCATGGGGGCGGGGGCATAAAAATGGGGCCTGGAGCAACATTTCCAGGCACACTTCAACCACTTTTGTGATGAACTAGTGCAACCCAGCATATTATTTGGGAATCATGGTTAGAGCCTACAATCTTAACAAGGAAACCCACTTACCTACTGTGGTTAGTGTTAAATCTGTATCACGGCTCTTCATTTTGGCTTTCGAGCTCTCGTCCAGGAAATCAGGACCATCTACATTATTGTCTAGGCTCCCGTCATAATCGCATTCTGTTTCTGAGCCCCTGGTAGTGTCAGGTAAATCTGAGTTATCCATCGAAAATTCGTCTCCGGTACTGTCTATTGAAATTGTCTCGGCAAGATCCACTGATGTTGGTTCTATTTGTTCAATGGACATGTATTTTAGGGATGTGTTTGTGTTATGTATTTTTGGTTTTTTTAGATAAAAAAACATGCTACATACTCAGTTTTAAAAACAGTTTGTTTATTGTTAACACCCCACCCCAAAACTAATTGGATTCAAGGTCTGTGAAACATAAAGTTAATTAGTTCTAGAGAGACATCAGACAACAGGGTAGGTAAATTGGTAGTTAGGATGGACTGTTTAGCAAAGGGATGCAATTTTAGCTCTGCTGTGGTTAGCAAGAAGATAGTAACAGTACTTATAACAAAGAAGAAGGGAAGTTCATCTAAATATTTTTCCCCCCATGCAGTCATATTTTTCCATATCACCCCACCCATCCATCACTTCCTTAACTCTACTGGATTAATGCCCTTGCTTTGCCAAACACCGGGAAATGTAGAATTCCTCTAGCATAGACAAAATTCAGTTGAAAGAACACTTAAAAAGGAAGAACATTAGAAGTACAACAGAATGCATCTAATGGCAGGACAGATGGTGTCTTGTGCTGCTTTTAAGATCTGGGGACCTACAGGCAGATAAACCTGGGTAAGATAACACCACCTGAATGCTCCGTGCATCAAAGTTACCCTGAAACTCTTAATAAACAAGGTATAAAAGATAAATATTTCCTTAAGTCAAGCTTCACTCCTAGTGATTATTTAATTATTTATTTGAATTCATTGGTCTCCCAACTCCAGTGGACTCCAATGGACATATCCATGTCCATATGATTTGGCACTGTCTTCTTCTACCATGTTTATCTGTCCAATCTAGCCTACGATCTTGAAATTTCCTGGCAGTGTCCTATCCAAGAATTATCCAGATCTGATTCTGCTTATCAATGTTTTAAATAGACATTCTCCAAACTGCTTCCATGTAGCAAACACTCCATGTGTTCTTCATCACTTTACTTGGCTGCTTATTCACACTGTTTGCTGCCTAAATGCATATGCAGACCCTTTTTCATAAGAACCTAAGTGCTCAAGAGAAAGCCTGGGAGAGCCAAAGATGTCTCTCTGCCTTTCTTACATATGATCTCACTCCTACATCACTTGTTCCCTACAGATGCTGGGAAGCTTCTAAATTTTGCATTTTCTCTCTCTTCTTATTGGCACAGGGAAACATGTGGTCATTTGAGAGGGAAAGAAAGTGATTATTTCCCTTTGGCATTACCAAGCCCTTCCTGCATGAATATCAGGCCTTGCAACTTGTGGGAAGGTGGAGAGTTCTAAACATCCCACTCTTTCAAAATGTGCTGTCTTACAAAAAACCAGTCTTCCTAAATTCCAACAGTTTCCATGAATTACTGCATACAAAATACTGCACACTGAAAAAAAATTCTAGATCGTCAGTTCATCTCTGTTTCACATCTCTTTTCATATCATGCATGCTCTTCATACTATAACAGAGATGCATAGCCTGAGCCCCAGGGTCACAACTAACCCCCCAAAACTTCAGATAAGACTCTAAGAATTGTTACCACATAGTAAGATTACATTGTCAGAAGGGGGAAATCTCTCTCTCTCTCTCTCTCTCTTGTCTTATACACAGATTTCATTTTAATTAAATTAATTCATCAAATTTTATTTTATACTGTCCCCACCCACTGCTTTTGAAGCATGGACCCCAGCATGACATTCAGAGGCAAAAAATGGTCATTAGAATGTTGCCAATCCCAACATTCTAGGAATTAGAAACTTCCCAAAACAAAGGGTTTTATGGGATATCGGAGATATGTTCAAGGAACTCTTCCATCAAGCAAAGATGCCTCCCCCCCATATTTTGAAAAGGATTCAAATCCAGTTTCTACATTTTTATTTAGGGAGGGAATGAAGCACAGGGACAACACAGATGCCTTGCAAACAGAAATCCCTATAGTCAATCCACAGCTTCTCCAACTAAGAAAGGATCAGGCAATGGGGGATGGGAAAGTTCTCTCCCAAGACCCCAGACAGGGCAAACAATTCTGAATTAGAGGGAGAAAAATTGTCCAATTTGGTCATTCTAAATTCACTCTGGAATGGAGTATCCAAGCCCAACCACTTTGCTCTGGAACATGTCAAAAAGTCCAGGTAATAAATATTAAAAGGTTGGCATCGCTGAACTGCTTTGCAGGAAAAGGAACAGTTAGAAGAGTACAATCAATGCATAAAAAGAAATAAAGAAAACAAGGGAAACGGAGGTGCCTGCTCAGTAATCTTCAAGAAAGAAAGCCTGCTTTGTTCCAATTAGGGAAACTCCAGAAAAAGAGAGAGAATCTTCTTTTAAACCTAGTTAGGTGATATAAACATACATTGAGCCTGTTCATCCAAATGCTGCAATTTACTTTTTGTTACCGTAACTCTGTAGATGAGTTATTCACATTCTGCCAACACAGAATTCCCCAGGCAAAAAAGCCCTAAAAAAAAAATCCAGATCCACTGATATTGCCTTCTGGGACTAAAATCAGAAGCACGTTCAAATACTCTTTACTGGAGAGCAGAAACAATTACTGGCAATCCCAGGACATTCCTTACCACAACTCTGAGACAATTGGGAGTCAGGCACCTTCATTCAGTTCTGCTCGTGACCGCTTTGGAACAAGCAGCATTGCAGAATAATCAATAACCAGTAATAAAGCAAGTAAACAAACTTATTTGTTTCTTGCCTTTGGGCAGTGTGTGTGATCAGATGCCAAAGAAACACACAAAAATGAAAACAGAAGCAAAAGGCATTCCAAGAACCCTTGTGCTAACCTTGTACATCTTCTCCTTCAAGTCCGGTTTTATCCACTATGTCCGTACTTTCCACTTCACACGTTGCTACAGATTCTGCTAAAAGTGACGATGGACTGGATACAGGACTGGGAGAAAAGAAAAGGTTGCTTCAGAAAGTGCTTCCATTTTCTGCTATGTAGAAAAACACCCAGAGAACTCTTTTAAGATCTACCATTTCAATGGTTTATTAAAAGCGGGTGAGGTTATGCATCACAGAGGCTGGACTTCAAAACCCTCCCCAACCATGAAGTTCACAAATCCAGCTAGTACTTCAAGCCTAGCTTCCTTCACAGTGTGGTTGTGAAGACAGGAGGAGGAGAACCACAGGCCCCACCCTCAGGTTCTCTAGACAGAAGAATGGAAGGATCACCAAAACGGGGGGCAAAAATAAGAGAACACCTGCATCAAAAGCTAAGCCATGCAAGACAATTCATAGGTGTACCACTTGGGTCTACATATCAAAAGGATATAGAGGGCCTACATATCAACCACAAAGATATTTAAATGGAAGGCTTCACCTGATCCTCCCTGGGATCAGCAGGATTGCTTGGGTGAAAATGCCCAGAGTCGCTGGGAGTTGGATGGCATATAAATTTGATACATCATCATCATCATCATCATCATTAAAAAATAAGAAACAGACATGGCTGCTTTAATAGGGCCCAGACAGAGGCTGTGTTCATGCTCATGCTCATGCTTATTTATTTATTTGACTAGATTTATATCCTACCTTTATTTTGTACAACTCAAGGTGATGTACATAATGCTTCTCCTTCCTAATTTCCCTACAACCACCCTGGGAGGAGAGACTTTAACTGGCCTAAAGTCACCCAGCCAGCTTTCATGTAAAGGAGGCCTAGAATTCATGGTCTCCCAGTTTCTATCCAGCACCTGAACTCCTACCCCAAATTGGTTCCCAAAAGCACGTCATCTCAACGAAATCCAAAGCATTATACAGCCCAGTTGCTTAGTCCTTATTAAATGTTATGGGTGGGTAGGGTAAGAACTGCCCCACTTCTGCTTTAATAACAATCCCACGTTAATACTTATATAGACAAATAGAGTCTGGCAGGACCAATTAATGAATAGGAAGATTGTCCTGGACTATGTAGAACATGAAACAGAAAATATTTAGCAAATTTCTACAGAGTATCACATTACCTTAGCTGTGTAGGTGTAGAGTCTAGAGCTGATGGAACGTCCTGAATGCTGCCGTCAGTGCATTGAACTGGTAAAGATTCAGTTAGGCTATTAACTGAAGTTGCTAGAAGAAGAGACACTAATGTCAAAACAGCCTTTCCTTATGTCAAGATTCTGCTCACTGTCAACATTATCTATCTGTCAACCCTTGGGGTTGGCGGAGTGGCTTGCAAAGATTTCAAAATGCAGCAATTAGACCTATGTTACCCACTGCCAATTCATCAAATTAGGTGCCAATATTTTTTTTGCAAGAAGACAAATCTATTCCAATTAACTACAGGCCAAACGATGCTGTATTTCAAAGTTGTAGCTAGCAGGTGCAAAGTTTGGTATTTTTTGGCTTTTCGGGGAGAAAGGGTTCCTAACTTGGAGGATAGGACAGTAGAGATCAACCACCCTCACAGGTCCACCTGCTCTTGCAATTTGTCTTCACAAAAAGCAAAACTTTATCCACAATGGAGGAATGGATTTTGAAGATGATGGAACTTGCAGAGATGGCCAAATTGACAGCTTTGATTAGAGAAAAGACATTGTCTAAGTTTAATGCTGACTGGAAATCCCTTATTGACTTTTTGCGTGAAATAGAAAAAAATGAAATTATGATACATGGTTTTGATGATTAGAAAAAAAAATAATTATAGAAAAAGTAATGCTGTACCCCATAGAATAAGAGGTTAATTTACATTTGCACTTATAACTGTTATAAAAGAAAATCGTGAGTCACTTCTTTATATTTTCTTTATTTTTTCTGCACTTTGTCTTTTTCTTATCTCTTTTTTTTTCTTCTCTTTCTTCTAAATATTAGTTCTTGTTAGGTTTTATCTTTCTTCTTCAAAACTTTAATAAAGTTATATAAAACAAGAACAAAAACTAAAAGCAAATTGCTGAAATACATTAGCTGCTATGCCATGCTAGATTCCTATGCTGTTGTTAACTTAAGCAACAACATAGAACTTGGCAAGAAAATCATCATTGTAATGGGAACATCTGCAATTCTGTGTTTCAGTGTTGATTCCACTGCAGCTGTCAACAGAATATCACCTGCTTTTCCTTTCCTCAAGTTATTTATGCCTCCCTTTTCCAGCTAAGTTGTGCAAGCTTCTGCTGACAAAGGAACATAAATCAGAGTTGGATACCATAAACAAGCCACCAGAATCAGGCTTTAATTATACTGAAAAAGCCATGTTAAAATGTTCTGTACAGAACGCTACCTTTAAAGCTGAATCATATCCTAAATGGTGAGATTGAAGACCTGTTCAAGTAATCACGGTTGCAGACTCGCTTCCTCTTTGTCTCCACTGTTCTCTTTACCAAGAAGAACTGCTTGTGATAGGAAGGAGGCAGCAAGCTGTTCACCAATCCCATTTTCTACAAACAGTGGAGTGAAACCCCCAACAAACCCCATGACATTAGGCAGCCACAGTTGGAGCATGAGATGGTGTCTTCCCTTCACCTACAGAAGCTAACTAGACCAGAAGCTGAATCAGGTTCTTCAACCTGCCAACAGAGTAGTGGTAACAGACTAACAGAAGAGACATATAAGAGGTCAGTTGGATCAATCCAAAGGCCCATCAGCTCTAGCATTCCGTAGCACAGGGCAACCAACCAGATGCATCTGGGGAGTTTGCAGGCAGAGTAAGAGCATGTAAATGACTCAAAATTGCTTCCCTATTTTCCAGGGATGTTGCCTGTAGGAGGATGTACACTGCCAACAGGAGTAAAGCCATGAAGACCTCTATCTTCCATTAATATCTCTAGTCCCTTTCAAAACCATCCAGGATGGTGGCTATCCCCACATCTACTAGCAGAAGTTCCAGAAGTCAACAATTTCATGTATTGGATTTAACAAGTTCCTCCAGGAACTCAAGGTGGCACACACTTCCTTTCTCCAATTTGTTTCCCACAGCACACCTGCAAGGCAATTGAGCAAAAGCTTCCATGGCTGAGAGTGGATTTGAATTTGGCTCTCCCTGGTCCAAATCCAACACATTAACCACTACACGACACTGGTTTTCACAGATGTGTGAAGGATAAAAAACTGCATCTCTTTATCAGAATTGAATCTCACCAAACTAAATTCCAATAGAGTTCTAACATCACAGCAGAAAGAGAAACAATTCTCTTTTATCCATTACCATCCATAAAGTTATCTACAATACCTCTCTCATATCATTCCATATAATTCCTTACCCTCCCTTTGCTCTAAGCTAAAATAAAAGCACATCGTGGTCTAGTGTTCCATAATCTGGCCAATCTCCAGATGCACAGACATCAACTTCCAGAATTCCATAGCCAGTGTGGCCACTGCTGAGTTTTCGGGAAACCGAAGACCACCCATAGGGAGGCACACAGGTGGAAACTGAGTATTCTAGCCCCCTAATCAATTTGGTTGCCCTTTCCCATCCCGAGTAGGCTGAGCATAAATTGTAGAACTTTGACCCCTAACATCTTTCCCATCCTCTAGCATCTGTTGTTCAAGGCCACCATCTCACTTTGCCCAACAGTAGATTTGTTTGGTCTATACTCCCCAGATTCTGCCTCTAGGAAGAAAACAACAAATTAATTCAGAGCCCTTTGTTGCTTCACACTTACCTGATGGGCTAATTCTACCATTACTACCATTCTGCCGTTGAAGATGTTCTTTATAGCATACCGAACACATGCCATTTGTACGAGGGTTCCCATAAAATCCACATCCAGTAGAACACAGCATAGGCACTTGACTATGATTAGTTTCTTGAGCCATATTCTTTTCTAGTGACCTGAGAAACAAGGGATAAATGGTTTCAGCAAATTCAGGCCAACCGAACAAGACTTTTCAACCTGCTCAATATAACCCCAAATAACCCAACTCCAGCAGTCTTTAAGAAATTGGCCATATTTTTACACCAAGAGATGACATATTTATTCTCTTCCTTGGAGACTGGCAAAGTTTATACTTTCTTTTCCCAACCAACCATGGCATGGATGGATTAATAAACCAGGTGTTATCTGCCTCCAACTCTTCATCTAAAAGTAGACAAGCAAGACCAGTTATATGAATTGGTGGGATTCTTTTACAAGGTCACATAGATATACAAAAAGCAAGCAGGCCTCATGGGAATAGTCAGTAAGCTTTTCACAGTAAGCCTTTCCATGATATGGGAATGGCTGACTTTAGCATCTGCCAGGAAACTGTGGTCCAAAAATGCAATGGCAGTTTAGGGATCCATAGTTTGGAGCACGTTTCTCATTTTTGTAATCATCTTATTTGTTTTGGGGACAATGTGCATCTATGTATAAGCCTTGTCCTCTCTATAACCTCTCTACAGTCAGTTTTCGGAATGCCTACACTTGGCGTTTTTACTTATAAAATATTAATTAACCTCCCTGAATCAAGATGTTGTGCAACTATAGCCTAGCTGAACCTACAAATGAAAACAGATTGAACCATTCAAAGCATAGAATCAGTGCAGGCAAAATCCAAAGGTAGTGTATAAGAGAAGAAAGACTCTGCAAGATACATGGGGCCAGATAAATATGGGGTCAGCAGGCTACTGACCTGGCATCTCTCCTCCAAAGTCTTACACTTACCTAGTGTAATATTGCTCAAAGGTACCAAGACAACAGCTCAGAAAATTGCGTATTTATCATACTGTAGCATCTTATGAAAAATGTAGAATGATCCCTAATTTCCAAGAAACCATCACTTTTCCCAGGAAAATCCACCACCTAAAGCACTAGGCATTCAGAACAGGTGGCTGATTAGAGTTTCCCTCAAAAAACTCAAATTGAGTTTCCCTTGCTCCTGAATAAACACACGTATTGGGTTCACACATCACACCAAGCTCTGGTTTGTTTAATTGCAGTTCATTGAGGAAGCTACAGTTGGTTGCATTCACTCTTCTACCAAGCCTTGGTCTTATGGACTGGTATAGTGTGCGCGGGGGGAAAGTATCTTGTCCACCTAGATGCAGAACAAAAGGAATGGAAGACAGCAGAGCATCTTTATTGCAATTGATTGCCATCTGGCTCTCATCTTCCAAAAACAACCTCCTGTGATGGTCATAGTCCTGAATTTGAGTTATTTCCCTTTTTCTATTCTGCCCCTTAATGTCCAGTCAATGTACTATGCTATTTTTTAAGCCATGGCCCTTCTTGAGTACCTTCAACTTACATAGGCAACAGGGAGAAAGACAGCAGGCATTAGACCAAGCCAGACCTGTTGCAAGAATTGAAAGCACACCTCAACTTAGAGGACTTATTTAGGTATTTGGCATATCTTGATTGTAGTGGGTATTCAATGGCTCCTGTAGGAGGCTTGAGACCAGCATTTCAATCTCCCATACTGCCCTGGAGCAATGCATGTTAGAGCCATTGTGGGAACTTAAAAGAATAGTTCTGAGACTCCAGCTGAAAAAGAGCTGGTGTTCAATAGGACAGCAGTGACATTCTGGAAGCTCACTAAGGATTCTGTATCTGGAGGGCCAAAACCTCTCCAACCTTGCTAGCTTTGGACTAGACAGAACAAGCTTCAGATGCTTCAGTAGAACAAGATAAAAACAAAAACAGCAATCAAAAAGGGATTACATGAAAGATATCTCTGGGTCCTTTGACCTCCAAATCAAAAACATCCCCTGAAGATAAAATTTGGAAACTGTAGGGTAGCTGATGCAAGATCAAGTGAAACTATAAGCACCACAGGAGAAAGGGGAGGTGGAAACATTATCAAATGCACAAAAACAGGAAGATAGAGCAGGGAGAAGAATACACCTCAAAAGGAATAACAAGAAAAACCCGATTCAATACGAGTTAAACAAGTTCTTGATTTCTCTTAGCCAGAGGATGAATCTGAGACTCATCAGACTAATGACTCTAAAAGCATTCTCTGCACTTTCCAAGGTGTTTAAAGATTTGTTTCTTTGGATTCTTTAAATTAAGAAGTAATTAAAAGTCAATCAAGAAACAGATTCACTAACTAAAGATCAACTGAAGTACTGTAGATATGCAAAAGTATTCTGGATTTGTTTCTTACTGTAAGGAAAAGCAGTCTTCAGGGGGGTGGAGATAGAGAAGTTACTTCTATTTGTGCTGGCCATTCATCTGTTCAGAAACTGTTTTGCCCACCGAAGGGGTCCAGTGACAGCAGAAATGCAAGTACTGTCTCCCCCTTCCCCATCATATGCCCCAACTAAAAAAATATAAATTGCTCCTCCTTTCTCCTGATGTCATTTCTTTGCTCAAACACACAGGATCCAGAGGCTGCTTTATTTCCTAAACAAAACACAAGCTATACTGGAAGATCATTACATTAATGCACTGGCCTACCTAACCATCAAGCCCAATGTGGTACAGTCTGGGCCAAAGACTCTATGAGAACAGGATCAAATCCTTGCTCAAATCATTGGTGATAATTCTGACTTAAATGTTCTTTCAGTCTAACTTATCTCAAAAGATAACCTCATATCAATTTAGTTGACCTTGTCTGGGCCTGAACACTATGCTGGATTAGGCCTAGTCAGTACTTGGATGGGAATCCACCATGGAATTCCAGGGAAGTTGAGTGGAAGCTAGACTGGGAAGCTGAAACAACATCATGGAAGAAACAACAGGTAACTATTTCTATACTGTTGCCAGAAAAGTATATGGATGTACATATCTAGTTACTAGGAGTTACAGTTCACTCAGGAGCTTTTATCTTTATGTTTTTATATCATATACCTTACAAGCTTACAATCTAGACTTGGAGATAGGAGAAGAATCATCCAAGGGCAGTTTTCCCCAGACAAATTGTCTCCCAGATATAAGTTCCCAGAAATCCCCAACCAGCACAGTCATTGCTGAGAATTCTGGAAGTTGAAGTCCACACATCTGGATTTGTCTGTCCTCATGAAGCCATTCTGATGGGGAAATGTCCCTCAGATTCTCACAAGCAACTTCATCAATTGCGGTTACAGCCCAATCACCTTACACTGCATCCCAACGGTCACTAAGGCTGCAGTGAGATATTTTCAAACCCTAAACCAATGGTTCTTAAACTGCTTGACCAATTACCCCTTTTCCTGGTCTTGAATAATATCATTACCCCCAACCCCCCCCCCCCAAAAGAAACCCAGACTCAGAAGCGCCTCAGGAGCAGTAGTCCCAAACTGGATTCTTAACTCATAAACAAACAATCACAAATTGCTCCATTGCCCCCAGGGTATGCCCACATTACCCCTTGGGGATAATTATTCCCAGTTTAAGAACCACAGCCTTAAGCAAACCAGGAGCTCTGCATAAAGCTCCACATAGAAATTCTTAGCGAGTCATACTGACATACTGAAATCAAGACACATCCAAGACTCATAACTTGTTGCTCTACCTGCTTGTCCTGGAAGAAGCAGTTGTGATTTGCAAAGCCAATGATAACAACATCTGAAATTCTACCAGCTAAATATTTTAGGAAGATTTGTCTTCCACGCATGCCTCAGAGTCAGTCTTGTGAGTAACATCATTAGAGGAGAACAGTAATTATTACTTGCACAATAAAAATCAGTACAGCTCTGATGCAAATTAGTGCACTATGGGTTAAGGATCAAAGATGATCAGGTACAAGCAGCTATGAAGAACATTTTACATGAATTTTTCCTGATAAAAAGCAAAAGAGAGTGGGGAACAGGCAGAAGTACCTCTTCTGTAAAATGCATTCACAACACCCTTGTGAGTGGCATTATAATCAATTCTCATAAACTGTAGCATGACAGCTGTATTCCTGGAACCCCTTGTGCTATGCAGAATCATGCAATATGAATAACCAGGCTTATGGAAAAAGCAGGGTCAGAGGTAGAACGAAAAGACATTTGTCACCAAAGCATCACCAAACCCTATAAATAATCCAAACATTGTCTCAACAACTCTTCAGATTGTCCATAAAGTCACCTCCTTCAGGCCAGCAGCACACCCAATGTTGCATTCTTTCACTTCTTTCAAAACTCTTCTGAGAATTTCAAACTTCATCCTCAGTCAATAAAGTTCTTATTTTCCTTTCTCACCTGAGATTTTTTCTTTTTATCACCAACACACTTCTTTAACACTTTCATTTACTCGGGGGGCAGGGTCGGAGGAGACACTTAAGCAGTACCAACATCCCCAAACACAAGAGAGGTGCCACAGCTACTAACAAAGTAGTACACGTGTAGCAGCTGGTCCAGGTTCACACTAATAAAGCCGCACATTTTGTGTTCAGTGCGCTCACCTGCCATTTCTTCTGAGCACAAATCTGAAACTTGGGAAAAACGTACATAGGCAAACATGCTCCATGTTCTACAGACATCCTTCCCCTATTTATCAATCATTTATGAGCAAACTCATGTCGTATAAACATGTGTTATACGAGAACAGATTGTACTTATGATACATGTAGCTTCTTCCTTCCGATGCATTAGAGCAATAATGGAAAAAGTCACCTGAAGAAGGTTTTATCAAGAAACACTTATGAGACTGGCTTTTTAAAACTTGCCATTTCGAGCATAATGTTAAAAAGGAGGTATATAAAAAAAGCAAAAAAACCCCAACAGATCACAGACTGAGCTTCTAGACAGTTCTAGAGAGATCAAGAGTTTATTATTTGGCTAATAATTCTGAACATATTATTTCAGTTAGAGAACTGAATATCCCAGCCAAAATACTTCAGATTACATAAAAAATTAATTAAAGGTTTGTTTCACTGAGCAGATTTGGTTATTTTGTTCTGACTGGACCCCAGTAATTCAAAGGCATGGAAAGCTTTGAAGTTTAGTTTAAAAAACAATGTTGGTAAAGTAAAACTTAAAGTCGTGGTTATGTTTATCTTCTGCTGAACTGCAAAAATAAAAGACAGCCTGTTTAGTTATTTTATTTACCTGGAATATATTTTACCCTTGTGGAAAAATCTAGTAATATGGGATAATTCAGACCACTGCATGTAGTTGAGATTCATTTGCAGTAATTAATGCAAACTGAGTAAAGGATGTGCAAAACCCAACAGCAAGCATGAATGCAGTCAACGAGGAGATTGCAGATTGTGTCAAAATTAAAGACCTGACAGAACATAAGCCCTGCTTAGCTCTGAAAGGTGGTATTTTCAATCCTCAAAATAGAGTTTAAGATCAGAATGACTCTTCTAGTTTTCTGCCTGACCTAACCATTCTGACAGCATCACCCCAATTTTGTATAAAGATTTAGACCTGATAGATGGGGTAACCGAAAGCAAATTTGCTCCTTGCAAATTGAGCATAATCATACATTCCTTTCTACTGAAAACCTGGCTACCAAATCTTCTATTTGGGTATATTTATATGTTGTCTAGTCTACCTCCTCATGGATGCTCACAAATGCCAGCATAGCAAGTGAGGTACCTGCTCTGTTTCTTGAGCACTAAAACTTGATAGTATTTTTTTCCCTCTGAACATCCTGACCAAAAACAGAAAGATAAAGTGTTAAAGCAATTATGAATGCATGTAGGTTTGTTGGCCTGTGGTTTGGAGCAAATCAACTGATCTTCTAATATTGAGAAGTGAAGAGATGAGCAAGAATTCAGTTCTGGCCAGACTGGAGTCATACAGTCCAGCTCAAATCAATAGCATTGCAAAAAAGAGAAAAAAAGATGTTTCTTCAAATGCAACCCATTAAAACCATTAGCTTTCTATGCCCCATGTAGCTATCTTTTCCAACCTTGCTATGTTGTTATGTTTAAAGAGGCCATGAATTGCATTTCTATATGCAAAGTGTAAATTTTAGCACTGAGAAAAAGGCTTCGCTGCTGCTTTCTTAATTTTGAAGCACTGCTTTTCTTACATTAAAGTAACTTCCAAGTGAAACCCCCCACCTACGCACAAAATCTTCCATTTCCTTTTTAGAATCAAGGGGCCTTGTTGCATTTATCTCAGTGACTGATAAACATTACTATTTTTACATCCCCTGATATTAAAGCTACTCTTTCCAAAATGAATAGTAATATTCCAGGATTTTCACATTTCATGCAAAAAGAATCCACAGCTCAGGAATTAAAAGCTCTGGTGGCATTCACACCTACTGCTAGCTAAGAAAGAGAGTACAAACAACTTACATCTACTTTCCTGTATTCTCATACAGTATCTCCCCAAAATTGAGTTGTCTTGGAGAACTATACATGGCGTCTACAAAATGTACAAAAGGATCCACAAAATGTATATTGCAGCAAGAAACCCTAACTGGCAGGATGCTGAGATTGGAAGATTGCTTGGGGTCCATGCAAAGTTTACCTTCTACTTTCAACCCTAAAAAAGCCTATTGATGGCTACTTCCAGCTCTGACCTTCTGAATATAATCCAGAATCTATGAATAGGGAGGGAGAGAGAAAGGAGGCACTATTTTTAGAAGGAAATCCTTTGTGACAGGAGGAGAATGGAGCTTAGTTGAATTTCCACAACTTTTTCCTTGAGGCCCATCCTCTTTGAACTCTGACCACTGTCTCTTGGGAGCTGCAAAACATAAAACCAAGCCCCTGCAGCTAGCTTTGCACATCCAAAGGATTTTTCATCCTGGACTTTTGACTAGTAACTTCTCCTTCCCCTTATGGTATGTAGCAAACTGCTTCTCTAGCACAGAACATTGTTCAGCAGCCAATCTGAACACCCAGCACACTTAAAGGATCACCATTTCCACTAGGGTGGCTAAGATGTTGGCATTAAGGAATTTGCAGACCACACCAGTGCAATTCAGGATGTGTAAAGTACAGTCATCTCAAATTTTATATGTCCCTGCCAATGCGTCAATATCTTTTAACATCATACTTACAAGCAAGAATCTAAACATTATTGCTAATTTTCCAAGAAACTTTGATTTTTGGAATTAGACCTCATCATCTTCTCTTCATCCAGATATGCAACGACCAGTGTAAATCCCTGCAACAGCCACTACAACAAACATTGTTATCATGTCATGTCATCAACTGCTATATTTTTCTTGGATTTTTTTTAATGATTTCATAGGAGAAAATGGATGGCCTAATGAATAGATCAAATCCCAATTGTATCGAGCAATCATTAGTACTGCAATGCCAGTCAAAACTACAATATGCTAATAAAATGATTAGCCCTAAGAAATATGTATTTTTGCCCCTTGCAAAGCATGTCAAAATTAGCATGACTTCACTTGCCCTCCCTTAGTC